AGGCATAGAGGCAGTGATGAGCATAGCAGTTACAGCTTTATGATCAGAACACATGTCTATGAAGTCAGTAGACCTATTAGGGGTCCTCATAATGGCTCTCTATATTATTAGGCTGGTGCAAAACTAATTGCAGTTTATGCCATTAAGAGTAATGGCATTAACAACACACAGACTTTCCTATCTCTGGCCTCAGAGCACAGTGCTATTTATGTTGCATTAATAATAGTAAATATTGAATAAAATGATATGTCTTTGCTGAAATGTGCCATATCCAACCTAGAGCTGCTTTACAGCTCATGAGGAGTCAGCCTAAAGTTACCAGATCAACCACTTTGACCAAAGATACAATTAAATCAGAAACTCCACACATAGGTTTAAGCAGTAGTTGAGTTTTTCCTACTGAGCTGACCAAATCAAAGTTACCTGACGTTGCGTAGACAACTTTATTAGAGAAGATACTCACCTAAGCTCACACAACACTTCAAAGGCCTTGAGTATTCTTACAAGTGACCTGGAATACTCAGATGTATTCAAGGACTGTAAAATAAAGTTCCTAAATACAAGACTCCATTTCAGTGTTGAGGAAGTCGGTTTTAGAGCCGAAATTTAGAATACATGCCTTTTGTAAAAAGTATTGGCTTATAGTCCTCAAGGACCAAAACACCTGTGAAAACTAGAGGAGGCTGACATTGATTTAGTGCTCTCTTTGTAAGAAATTTTTCCATATTCCTTTAATCCTGTGAGATAAATGTTATTATCTTCATTTTACAAATGTAAAAACATGGGGTGAAAAATAGTATCTTGCCTAGCCACAGATAAGTTAAGCAGTGACCTTTTCATTTTAAAACCATGCTTTTTTTATTTTTGGAAACTACTGCAGCTCTAAGATGGAGGGAGCTAGAAGTGGGCCTGGAAAGCATTTATCTGCTTTTTAACTAAGGTGACAAGCCATTCTGGGGTGCCTCAGACTGCCCTGATTTTAGCACTAAAATTTCTGTGTCACAGGAAACCACTCAACCTGGGGCAAACTGAGATGGCAGGTCACCTTAACAGTCTGAAGTGCTAAGGTCACACCTCTGAAACTCATAAGGAGCAGAGATAAGTGAGGCAAGGAGGTCTAGAGCCTCTGTAGGTGCAAGTGAAATAAATGAGCATCAGAGGCGTGAGAGAGTCATTACTGGGAAGCATAACTGCTTTTCCTATTGGTCCTTTCTCTGACATAAAATTATCTTTGCATTTTGTGGTTCTCCTTATCTTTTTTTCACAATTCACCTTCATTTCACCTGGACGACCAACTAACATGACTCACAGAATACATCTGCATTACCTTAGACAGTTTCATTAGTGTTTCACTCGACTAAGGTGAATTAGCTATCATTAGCACAGTAGTAATTTGAATATTAAGGCCGCTGCTAAAAAGGTAAGTATGCTGCAGGCAGAGAACGGCCTGCCCTTCCATTTAAAGTGAGCTAGCCAGCCTCCTGGTTCAGGTAATTCCTCATGACAGACTGAATCAGTGTTGGCTTCTGCAGTGTGCTATTTGGAGCTCTGGGCAGGCCTTCATCTCACAAGTATCTCCATCTCCACTTTATTACATTGCTGAAATGCTGTCATTAGTAGAGGTTTTAAGAGGATGCTCCAAGTAAGACAGGACCGAGAAGGCAAGAGCTCCAGCAAGTGGGATAGAAGAAAGTTCATTTGCAACTTGGCAGAGTCAGCCGTGTCCTTGTTGAAGATACAGCAAATGTGCTTCACTGGCGGTTTCTGCAAAGGTGAACTACAGGCCAGTGAGTCAAAAGTATTACAAATTCATTTGTTTTGTAAGGTTTTTGGCCTAAGCTCATTTAAAATTTTAAAGTAGTACTTGGCAGAAAAGAACATTCCAAACAGGAAAATATATCTTTTTAGGTAAAAGACAGCTTTCCCGAATGGTTCAATTTTCTCAAGATGTTATAACTGTTTTCGTTAAGTCAAAGGTCTCTGATTATACGGGAGCTATTTTATCAACTTCAGATGACCTTTGTTGGCATGGAATGATTCTATAAAATTATTATCTTGATCCTTGGTGATGTTTATTGCCTCCTTGTATAACTGTAAGAACAGTTGCATACTAGCATAATGAGAACACTTTCCAAGTCTCAAGTTGAAGTTTGGCCTTAAGGAAAGAAAGAAACCAAATCTCTGAGACAGAATTACAAAGACAGCTTTGTGGCAATATGTTGTAACACACAGTTCATTAAAAGAATGCTCTTTAATACGGAAAATCTATTGTTAACATTGTGGTTTGAAATGTTTAAACCACAGATGAACAAACTTTACTTCTGTCAATATGTGGGATCATGAATTCTTTATTTTCCAATACCTCAGAAATCTGCAATTGTGGTATGTATACAATTACTATATTGCCCACGTCAAGAGTAGAAAAGAGTATTGTTTATAGAAAGGATTCCCAGCTAAAAGGATGATCATAATTTAAAATATTAAAATAAAATTAAAAACACATATGGCCAAATAAAACTTAGAGAATCACAATGTATAGGATCATAAAAAAAATTCTCAAATCCCTGATGAAATATTCAAGCCACCACCACCAATAACAAAATTACTTGCTTACGGAAACGTATCTAACATTATTTCTATGGAATACATTTAGAAAATATTGATAAGGATCAACTAATTACAATCATTTATGACATGAAATCACAGACATAAAATCGCTATAGTTATTGATAAACAAAATCAAAGACATAGAGTCACTGTGGTTATTGATAAGCATTTGTCATTCTATAAGCTTGTTTGGTGTTCCTACAAAGCCGTAGAATTAATCAAGACATCATACTACATCAAATGTTAGGTCAGTTCTCATAAGGAATTGGAGCAACTGTTCAGTCTGCCAATGCTGGCTTATTTTGAGCACTATGGTGACTATGAAGCCTCATTAACTCTTTCAGATTAAAATAGAGCCTGTCTTCTTCTCTGATGAACTGAGCTAATGCAATGTTGGGAAATTACACACCAAAGTGATCCATGATAGGCTGGTTAATTTGGGGCCATAGGGCAAAGCAGTAGCACATCAGACAGCAAAGGGATACACTGGGGCTGGTAATGAGTACTATCTGAAGGTCAACAGGTGTCTTTCCTGAGAACACGATGGGGAAAATATCACAGGCCATGCATCAATCTTTCTCTACCTTAGTCACCCACCTAGGGAACCCTTTGATAAGATGGCTGTTGAGGAGGAAAGGTTAATATTCACTTCATGGTCTACCTGTGATTTGTAACGGCTTTGACTAAGTATTGTTTTGTTTAATAGATGTAATTCTATCTGCAATCCATCAGAATACGAATTAAAAAACGAGGATCAACTCTATATGCTTCAGGTACTAAGAAATTCTGTATCACTGAGTTAGAAAAGAGGCATTTCATTATTAAAATCACCAGGTAGAAAAGAATTAGCTATAAATAATACCACATTTTACTCATATTTATGTTTTAAACTCATTTGTCAAAGGTTGTAGAATTCTTATGTATTACTAATAACCCTCTGAGGAAACATGCTTCTATAAACTCCTTCATTAAAATTACAAAATTCTAAAACTCATGACAGCAGAATATAATGGGAAATGACTCATAGAAGGTATTTTCTTATTACAGAATGGCTCTGATTTCTTCAAAACGTACTTTTCTATTGATACAGTCTTGAAAATAAGATGCCAGTACTGTAATGTCAGCATTATTAAATCTGTCAACTGTAACATTGTACCATCAGGGACCTCTACTTAAAGATAAGTATTCTACTTGTTGTTTAAGTTAAAAGTAAATAGCTCTTTTTAATAGATATTTCAGTTCATAAGGGAAAAATGCCAAATAATTATTCATTAAATGAATGAAAAAATATTCATATTATTCATAAAGCACTAGTTAATAATCTCCTAATAGGTATTTTTTTAATTTGCAAATAATGTTCAAAAAATTTTTACTAGGGTGCTAATTTTAAATTTAATATATGATTATATGTCTAAAGCCATAAAGGTCTCAATTTTGTCCAGATTAGTGCAAAATGAGAATATATTACATACATGTAACTATATTAGTTAGTGGGGAGGCACAGTCAAAGGATACAGGATTTTAGATAGAAGAAATTTAAAAATCTATGGTACAACATGGTGTGGTTGATATAGTTAATAACAAGTTATTACATACATAAAGATGACTATAGTTAATAACAACTTATTACATACATAAAAATGGCTAAAAGATGTTTAGTGTTCTCACCGCAAAAGAAAATAATAAGTATCTGAAGTAATGGACATGTTAATGAGCTTGATGTAGCCATTGAACAATGTACGAATATTTCAAAATAGTGTTGTAAGCCATAAATATATACAATTTTTATTTTTAAATTTAAAAAAATAGTTGATTTTTTAAAAAGAACTATACTAGGTAAGGCTCATTACAAAAATCAATAAACAGGATTCCTTTAGAACATAATTTTCTAGTAACAGCAAATATTTTGAATACAGTAAAATACCTGCGATGCATAAGGCATCTTTCCCAAACATCTGATTTACAAAGAGAAAATGGACATGACACTGATAAAAAAAAAGTTTATTTAATTCTACTAGTTTTTAACTTATACACTTTTTGTACACTGCAATAAGTAGAATATGGTTTTTATAAAACTAGAGTGCTAAGTTTTGAAATTCACAAAAGACAACATTTTGACTCACGTTTTGGATTTTATATTTATCACTCCACAAACTTTGTTTTCTGAGGTTAAAATAATGAAATGCATTATACTTCAATGCATTCAAATAACATAAAATATAAAATGTACTTTCTTTAGTTTTTACAGCCAATAACCTGCTCTTTCTTTCTTTGAGGTCTTTCTTGCATACATCCCAATCTCATTTCAGCTTTCTTGAGCAGCCAAAAAAGCAATATGCTGGTGAGAACACTGCTGGGAACAGTAATTGAATGAATCAAATCTGAATCCTTACCCTGTTCTGAACCAGCAAATAGATGACATTTAAGAATAACTGTTTCTCCTTTGTAGCTATATTAGTGGCAATACTTTCTTTCAACAACACATAAAAGTATTCTGAAAACAGTCTGTTGTATTTTCAAGGAGCACCTGGCTGAAATAAGGTTGCTTAGTATTTCTGTCTTGTATTTTTGTTGTTGTGGCTGTTGTTTTATTTTTCTTTTTCAAATACAAGCCTTATTTTTTTATTTCAGCAGTTGACCACTTCAGTGAAGTCCGTCTAAAATAAGACTTCAAATATGTAAGTTTGTTTCTGTTGTTGTTAAGAATAAAAATGAAATTGATTTTAGTTTAGGAAAACATAACTGAATTAAACTCAAACTATGACCAAACCTACTTCCAGAGATTTTTCAGTTTCCAAATTCAATCTGTATTCTCTAACAGGATTTAAGGACTCAATACCCTAGCGGGAACAAGAAGATATTGAGAATTTATACAACATGTGCAATAGGAAATGGTGTTTTGTTTTCTCCTATACCTTTTTCTAATCTATCTCCTTTATTAAAGTGTACCTAATAGCTTACAAAAAGGAAAACAAATAAATATATGTAAATAACTTCCAACAAATTATCCCTGTCATGAAAACCCAGTAAGGCAGTAGCCTTATCTATGGATCTGTCTTCATAGACAGCTCAGATTAACAGATTAATCTTGGGATTTAGAGAAAGAAGAAGAATGAGGGAGTTGCTCATTCCTTCCAGAGGAGTCAAGGGCAAACTAAACCATGCATGAGATTTAAGAACAGGGTCTACTTATTCTCTTCTGAGTTGTACGTATGAATGGGTCAGTTTGCCCAATTGTCAGATGAGGTAAAGTTAAAACACTTCTGCCATTCCGAAACTAAAATTTCATTTTGAAAATTTCAAAGTCAGTTGATATCAGTTTATAACAGAAATTTCCCCTGAAAGGACTTCACTCTGTCATTTTCATATAGATATATTTGCTAATGAAGAAAAACTCTGTTCCTGTGGGAGGAGTGTTATTATTGGTGTGTAAGGGGTCTTTGTAGGTTAGAGATATAGTTAATAGTTCCTATGACTAAATGTATAATTAGTCTTTTCAAAATCCTACAGATCTTTTACATAATGCATTGTATGGTTGATACATTTAAATGTGCAGTCACTTGGCACATCATCTTACATATATCACACAGCTTAGAGGAACAGACAAGCTAGGTAGATATCTCCCATTATTTCTTTGTTGCTGTCTCTAATGGGCTTGGGGGATCATTGTGAAAATTATGATCTTAACCAGCTGACATAGGGTAGCTGTTGGTACGTTAGAGTCAGCTCAAGCAGAGAAGCCTCTCTCAGAGTCTGAATCTTCAAAAGGACTAGACTCCATCCTACCAGGTGTAGGAAAAATGCACTCTTCTATACAGATATGTCTTATTGATTTCTTAATAATATGCATATCAAGACATTTACATCTTTATCTGTCACTTGCATGTGGTCGAATTTCTCAATCTTTTTTTAAATTGTCTTCTGGATTTCCTATCTAGCTTAGAAAGTCTTCTTCATTGAAAAAATAAATAGTCACAGTGTGCCACATTTGTTACCTCCATCGTCCTCATCATTGATCTAATTAAAGTCCTCACTCACTTAGAATGCAGCCAGGCCTTGCCCTTTATGCTCCAGTGACACTGCAGGGCTAAGTAGTTTTCTTTCTTTGCCAGGCTATATCTCACTGCATGGCCTTACTCTTGCTGTTTCTCCCTGCCTAGAACATTTTTCCCTCTTCTTTCTACCTGGTTCACCCTACATATCCTTAAAGATTCTGCTCAGGATGGGGGGTTTTCAAGATGGCACAGTAAGAACAACTCGGGATCGCAGCTCTCAGTGAATGCTCAGAGGGTGAGTCAAAGCCACATTTCCAGACAGATCTTTGTTGCCCACAGAAGGGGGAAAGTCCCAGGTGTAGGAAAGACACGGGACACAAGCACAGCCAGTTCGGCTGTTGCTGCCGCTTCAACCGGCGCCACAGCACACACTCCCCAACAATCCGCACAAAACACACGGGCCCAGGTGCCCTGCTAAACTGGCAATCTGAGATTTGGGAGGGCAGATTAGCATATCCATCTGATTAAACGGGACTGGGACAGTGAGCCAGACTAGGAGATTCCTGGGAAGTGGTGTTGGAGCCAGCGCAGTGGCTAGCTGCATGGGAAATCACACAGATCCTGGTGCTCTAACAGCGGGAGACCAAAGCACCTTGGAGAGAGCCATCCATTCATCTTAAAAGAAAAAAAAAAAAGAAAGGCGTTCTGAGGCAGGGAGCCAGGCAAGCGGGCTCAGCAGGTTTCACCCCCACAGGAACAAACAAAATGGCAAATCGAAATGCTCCAGGTGGAGAATTTCACTGCGAGCACAGCTGAACCCCTGACAGTGCAGTTCGGTGGGGAGAGGCGTTCACCATTATCGAGGATATCCACCCCTACAGAAGTACACTCCCATTGCTGATGCAGCCTGCCATCAGGGAGGCAACACACCATAACAGAGAGACTCCGCTGCAGGGCGAAGCTGGTGGCAGCAGGGCGGAGCCTGCATCGGAGCCCGCGGCTGCAGGGCAGAGCCTGCAGCAACAGGGCCCACACCGCATCAGCAGGGCGGAGCCTCGGCAGGCAAAGAGTGACTAGACTGCCTCCTAGCTGGGCTGGATAGTGCCACGGACACTCATAAAGAAAGCCCCAACCCCCCCGAGACAGAGCATCTAAGGAAAAAAAGGGGTTCTAAGAGTTGTGCTGCAGCAGAATTAAACGCACCTGCCTAACAGCCCTGCCTGAACAACAGAGCTCACAGCTCAGCACTTGAGCTCCTATAAAGTACAGACTGTCTCCTCAAGCAGCTCCCTGACCCCTGTATATCCACGGTCACCTCAAAAAGGACTGATCAGACTGACATTAGGCGGGCACCATGCTGGGACAAAGATAGCAGAAGAAGAAACTGGTAGCATCCCTCACCAGACAAGCAGGGCCTGGAGTGGACCTCAGCAGTTGTACAGCAGAGGGGCTAGACTGGTAGAAGGAAAACCAAGTAACAGAAAGACCTCATCATCAACAATCTGGGCATCCACTCAGAGACCCAATCGAAAAGTCAGCAACTACTCAGACTACAGGTGGATAAATCCACAAAGATGGGAAGAAACCAGTGCAAAAAGGAGGAAAACACCCAAAACCAAAACACCTCACCTCCTACAAAGGACCAAAACTCCTCACCAGCAAGGGAACAAAGCTGGATGGAGAATGACTGTGATGAAATGACAGAATTAGACTTCAGAAGGTGGGTAATGAGAAACTTTTGTGAGCTAAAAGAACATGTTCTAAATCAATGCAAAGAAACTAAGAACCTTGAAAAAATATTTGAAAAAAGATTTGAGAAAATAACAAGAATGGATAACTTGGAGAGGAATATGAATGAATTGAAGGAGCTGAAAAACACAATACGAGAACTTCGTGAAGCATGCACAAGTTTCAACAGCCGAATTGACCAAGCAGAAGAAAGAATATCAGAAGTCAAAGATCAACTCAATGAAATAAAACAAGAAACCAAGATTAGAGAAAAAAGCACAAAAAGGAATGAACAAAGTCTCCAAGAAATGTGGGACTATGTGAAGAGACCTAAACTACATTTGATAGGTGTACCAGAAGGGGACGAAGAGAATGAATCCAAGCTGGAAAATACTCTTCAGGTCATTATCCAGGAAAATTTCCCCCACCTAGCAAGGCAGGCCAACACTCAAATGCAGGAAATACAGAGAACACCACAAAGATATTCCGCAAGAAGAGCAACCCCAAGGCACATAATCATCAGATTCAACAAGGTTGAAATAAAGGAGAAAATACTAAGGGCAGCCAGAGAAAAAGGTCAGGTCACCCACAAAGGGAAGGCCATCAGACTCACAGCAGATCTCTCAGCAGAAACTCTACAAGCCAGAAGAGAGTAGGGGCCAATATTCAACATCCTTAAAGAAAAGAACTTTCAACCCAGAATTTCATATCCAGCCAAACTGAGCTTCGGAAGTGAAGGAAAAATAAAATCCTTTGCAAACAAGCAAGTACTCAGAGATTTTGTCACCACCAGGCCTGCTTTACAAGAGCCCCTGAAAGAGGCACTACACATAGAAAGGAACAACCAGTACCAGCCATTCCAAAATCACACTAAATGCTAAAGAGCATCAACATAATGAAGAATCTACATCAACTAATGGGCAAAACAGCCAGCTAGCAACAAAATGGCAGTATCAAATTCACACATAACAATATTAACCCTAAATATAAATGGACTAAATGCACCAATCAAAAGACACAGAATGGCAAACTGGATAAAAAAACAAAACCCATCGGTGTGTTGTATCCAGGAAACACATCTCACATGCAAGGATACACAAAGGCTCAAAATAAAGGGATGGAGGAAGATTTACCAAGCAAATGGAGAGCAAAAAAAGCAGGAGTTGCAATTCTCATCTCTGATAAAATAGACTTTAAAGCAACAAAGATCAAAAGAGACAAAGAAGGTCATTACATAATGGTAAAAGGATAGATACAACAAGAAGAGCTAACCATCCTAAACATATATGGACCCAATACAGAAGCACCCAGACATATAAGGCAAGTTCTTAATGACTTACAAAGGGACTTAGACTCCCACACAATAACAGTGGGAGACTTTAACACTCCACGGTCAATATTAGACATATCAACCAGACAGAAAATCAACAAGGATATCCAGGGCTTGAACTCAGACCTGGAACAAGCAAAGCTGATAGACATTTACAGAACTCTCCACCCCAAATCCACAGAATATACATTCTTCTCAGCACCACATCACACCTACTCTAAAATTTACCACATAATTGGAAGTAAAGCACTCCTCAGCAAATGCAAAACAACTGAAATCATAACAAACAGTCTCTCAGACCATACTGCAATCAAGTTAGAACTCAGAATTCAGAAACCAACTCAGAACCGCACAGCTTCATGGAAACTGAACAACTGGTTCTTGAATGTTGACTGGGTAAACAATGAAATGAAGACAGAAATAAAGAAGTTCTTCGAAACCAATGAGAACGAAGACACAACATGCCAGAATCTC